GGCCAAGTTTCTTTATTGATTCAGTTTAGTCACATTAATATTAATGTACTAGCTGTCTAAAAGCAGCTTTAGCGGTTCTCCGTAGTTGTCAATAAAGATCCTATAAAAACGAAATCACAGAAGATTATTATCGATATTCGTCAGATCTGACAGTAGTAGTAGTAGTAGTAGTAGATCCTTTTTTATAGAATATAATTGCTTCCTCTGATTTGCTTGCATTTAGAACGATAATACTCTGTTAAGTTTGCATATGTCCAGTCTTTGACTGCTGTTACATGATAAATGTCATAGGAGGTTCTGCAGTCATGGTTAACTTTTAATGTTTTATGTGAGAAACTCATAAAAGACCAAGATGTGTCAATGTCTAAGGAAAAATATCATTACTGTCTCTACAAAAAGCAGCAGCAGCAGCAGCAGCAGTAGTAGGTAGTAGTAGTAGTAAGTCTTCTCTCTCTAAAATTGACATTTTAAATTGGGAAAACTTTCTCTGTACTACACCCCTTTTATTGTTGTGATCAGTGAAAAAAGACCATAGGATGCCTTTTCTTTAATTAAAAGAAAGGCAAAATAACTATTTAAAAACATAATAATAAGTGCAATTTTTTCTCCTTGAGCTTTCTTTAGAATGCTTCTAATGGTGCTGTAATTCTTGGGTTCCATGGTGGATTTAATGTAAATGAGTTTCATATATTTTATTTTTATATATTAAAATTAATATTAATATAGAGGTAATCCTATATTAATCACATTATGGTTTATATATTATACTCCTCACATTCTAGTATGATAAAAATCAACAAGTTCATAATAATAACTTATGAATGAGCATCAAATTACTTTCAAAACATCATCAGTCACACTGGTCAGTTTTACAGCCACATCATGATCAGCCTCTACTGGTTATATCACATGATATCAGCCGTATGGCACCAATACTGACTGTGGCACTTAGTCAATTTGTGGCAAAATTTTCATGTGAACACGATCAGCGCAAAGTTTTTCGTTGGTCAAAATATTCGTTACGTCACAAAAACAAACACATGACTGCCTTTTTTTGTTGGTGCTACTGGGGTGGTTCGAGACACGTTTGACGCAGCTCCACGCTTTACGAGACGGACGAACATGAGTACCGCGCAAGATTTAAGCCGCGCGCAACCCCAACCTCCCTGCCCGAAGACAACGGCAGTGTGGGGAATAGAGGGAATGATAAGCATTTAGGTCAACTCCACTCCCACACGATAGTTCACAACACTGTTTCTGCATGTAATTAATACATTCAGGCAGCTTTTTATGTGAACATTTGTTTTCAGGATTCCATTAATTCCGCCTTTCTTCGTGAAAGTGCATTGTGTACCTCCTTCGTAGAGTGTTACTTTTTTTCCACCCTCGCTTAAATGAGGACCGTCATCCGGTTCATGGATGTGCATTTCACCCTTCATCTTGTGTTGAAGTGCATGCCCTTCTTCCACGCGTGAAGGGCACCCCACACTCACTGTGCCGGCAAAGCGAGTGTGGGCAATTGTTCTAGTGACAGGTCGTCGGGTGCACTCTTTTGACTCATTCCCTTTTTTTTTAATTATAGCGCTTCCGAGCATTTAGGTCAACTCCGCTCCCACACGGTAGTTCACAACACTGTTTCTGCACGTAATTAATACATTTTTTATGTGAACATTTGTTTTCAAGATTCCATTAATTCCGCCTTTCTTCGTGAAAGTGCATTGTGTACCTCCTTCGTGGAGTGTTACTTTTGTTTTTACCCTCGTTTAAATGAGGACCGCATCCGGTTCATGGATGTGCATTTCACCCTTCACTCTTGTGTTGAAGTGTATGCCCCCCTTCCACGCGTGAAGGACACCCCACACTCATTGTGCCGACGGAGCGAGTGTGGGCAATTGTCGTCCCTGTTCTAGTGACTGGTCGTCGGGTGCACTCTTTTGACTCATCCCCCCCCCCCCCTTTTTTTTTTTTAATTATAACGCTTCCGAGGTACCGATCGAGGCCCTGCTGCGGACGTGCCGAACAGTCCGTCCTTGTTACTGGGACGCTCGACGGAGTTCGGTACGAAGAGCTCGAGAAGTGGCTTCGTAGTATGACGGCGTTGCCGTTCGAACACATTATAAAGAAACAAGTAAACAGGTCAGTGCTTGATGTAGCTCGTTATCATCGAATTTCTTAGCATCTGACCAATTGTTTCTGTTACGGCCATGTTCATTTTCTTTCCCGTGTAGCCGCAGGCAATTTTTTTTTTGCTCACAAGGGACACGCCTACGACGGGCCCGCTGGCGGCGCGGTGAGGTTTTCCGAGGCGACGTATTTTATATGTACATATGATATTGTCTTACGGATATAAAAACTTTATTACGGTAATCATTTTTTATCTAATCTGTGTCTTAATATGTAGATATAGTTTTATTGTATCTTGTCAATTCATTGAATATTTTTTAAAAAATATTATTATGTGCTACAACGAATCAGTTTACAACAAAAAAAACTGTCTCGCGCTATACCGAAAGAATGTAAAAGAAACACATCGTTTATGACAATGAAATGAAATAAATTCACCGGGTAGGCCCAACATGATTCAATACGGTAGACTTTATCAATCATTCATTATTTTCTTGGATTTAATGAGGAAAATTAACTTATGGGAGGAAAGGTGCTAATCTCAAGGATTGCATGTTACTTGTTCTCTCAGTATACGTACAATATAAAAATACGATGTCCCAATCTTATCTATTAAATGTGTAAGCTGACAATGACCAAAGCAAAGGAATCGTGAAGTTCCGACCAGAAAATTAGCCGAGCGTGAAAGTCGTGCTTTGTCACATGCACATAAGCTGGTTGCATGCTTTATCTTGAATTCCGGATGTTTGATTGTGGCATATTCAATTCGCTTTCCATATCCCGTTAGTCTAATGTAATCAATTTGAACCTTATACGTTATTATTTTTAACACATCTGTTACCAGAATTGTCACGGAAATAGAAGATCTTGAAAATAACGTCAAACTTTATCATCTAAGCTTTCTACGGATAAAAGTTTTCTAGCCCTTATTTTTAATAACCCAAAATCGATTGTTTATTAGTTTATTATCGTACCAAGTAAATCACTGTTTTGCTATTACACCATGTAGACCATTTCTTTCTATTATCCTCTGAATAAATAATTAGTAAGGCTTGATAAAGTCACTTACTAACTAATCGTGCCGTCAAAACCCAGTAACTTCTTACATGTCTCTCGCTATGACTATAAAATATCCCTGTTCTTATTTTCTGAAAAGCATTTAAACTTACTTGGGATCTACGGTGAGAAACCAAAACAATACAACGTGGTAAATTTTTATTTGCCGATCTTGACCTGCTGAATATGTACTTTTGCACTTGAAATGGTAACAGAATAACTCTCTCGCATATTTTAATTAATATACTCACATTCTCAGCTGATTGTCCGTGCGACACCATTGGTCCCCCCGCATTTATTATCCCGGTCTCAACCCTTTATTCTCTACAGCAACCGAAAAGATGCCAACTCCTGCCACACAAAAATCGAACGCCAAGTCAGAAGAGTCAAACAAAAAACATGGCTCCAGGGCTCCTCCAAAACCAAACGACAAAGCTTTTAAAGTTGCTCTTGAGGAAAATAGAGCAAAGATTGACAAGTTACAAGAGCAACTGGTGAGTTTTATTCTGGTCCTGGCCAGAGCGGGCGCTTGAAACCTGATCCCTGAGCATATTGAGCTCTGTCCAGAGTTAAATGAGTACTCGCATGCCTCACAAGAAGTAGCATACATCTTCGCTATGTGTTAGACTAAATCATCAGAGGAGAAAAAATGCGCTTTTCTTTCCTCCTTTCCCCAACAGAGACCGTCTTTTTAGGACATAACTAAGCCTAACGAAATATTTTAAACCCTATAATTTTGTTGACCGTTTGATAGGATAAAGTAAACGAAAAAATTAATAATGAAATGAATAACGATCCAATTGGTCGAAAACGCGATGAGCTTAAAAAGCAACTGGATGAGATTCGCGAGAAGCAAGCGCTTCATAAGCAGGCGAGAAGTTCCACCTTCGAGAAAATCAAGGTTTTGAACGATGCTCTGAATAAAAAGGTATTGAAATCGACGTTTGGGCTTGTATCATTTGGTGGTATGGATTTCTCCCCCCTTCTTCTCATCAAGTATATTTGTATAATATTCGCAGAAGCGTGATGTCAAAGTCGGCAAGGATAAGATGCAGTTCAGGACGGTCAAAGACATTGATATTCATATCCAGTAAGATTACAGTGTTTTGTCGCTGCTTGGCAAGCGAATTCCTTCCTCGCTTTCATTCGTTTTGGCTCATCTACTGTCATTCTTACTTTAAAAAAAAAAAAGGAACCTAGAGAGACAAGTCGAATCTGGCGAATTGAAGATTATAGAAGAAAAGCGAATCATATCTGAAATATCCAATCTCAAGAAAGCCAAAAAGACCGTTGAACAGTTTGAAATTCAACAAACCTCCATCGACGCGGATCAAAAAGCCATTGACGATATCAAGAAGACGCTACAAGATACCGATTCGAGGCAGCTCAGTGCAGAGTACGACAAGATAAAAGCAGAACTTGATCTTCTCTACAAAAATCAATCAGAGCAACATGAAAAACGTCAAAAGTTGTTTGACGAAAGAAAAAGGCTCAAGAGCCAGAGAGATGCAGAGTACGAAAGAAAAAATGCCTTGTATGATAATTACAACAAGGCCAAGCAGCAATACTATGAATGGTTTGATGAAAAGAAGGCAGAAGATGAAGCAGCCCAATTGGCCTCAAAAGCCCAGCAGCTGCGTGAAGAAGCGGCTCTTCCAGCTTTCGAAGCAGAAATATTGATATGTAATAATCTTATCAACTTCTTCCAGACCAGCTATGGGATAAACAAAACGGCTGTTGAGCCCGCTTCTGTAACTTTTCCTGCTACTTTAAACATTCGTGCTGTTGACACAACTGCCAATGTACCAGAGGGTGTCATGCTGGTGAAAAAAGAAGATAGAGACGACGATTACTTTGTCGGAAACAAAGAAACCAAGAAAAAGAGAAACAAACACGAAAAGAAGAATCAAAAAAATAATTCGTGCCAACTCGATATTAGCATTATGGATCAATTATACCAAGTCGATGTCGCTGTTCCTACAAGTGTGAATGATATAGAGAAAACTGTCGAAGCTTTAATTGCCAAGAAGCAATACTATATAGACAACCAAGAGAGAATCACTGAGGAAAACATCGAAAAGGTTGAAGCTAAAATTGCTGCAATGAAAACTGATCAGCCTGAAAATGGAAAAAAGACGAATGTTGAAGGGGGTGATATCAAAAAGTCGGCTAAAGTAGTCACTCCTGAGGCTTCTGCTGCCACAGAGACTAAGGAGGAAGTCAAATGAAAATTTGGTCATTCCCCTGCGCCTCGCAATCTTTGCTTGCTGTTAAGTGAAAACACGCTTCATATAGGATATCCAATGAACTATCGTTCAATATTTTCATATACTTATTTAATTACTTATAGAACTCGGTTTTTTGTATCTTTTTTTGATGATGAGAAAAAAAACAATTTTAATACAAACTTGAAATATTTATTCAAGATAGGCGCGAGATAATCATCGTGAAAATAGAAAAATGAATAAAAACCAATAATTTGCGATATCGAATAGTGTTTGATGAGTTCTGCATGCAAACTCGAGAACAAAAGAGATATAACACATAATTCTCGATCAGCCTGTATATATATATACGTTTATTGATTTGTCAAACTATATTGTCTTTAAAGTCGCTCTTCCCGATCAAACATCCATTGGACAGCTTCAAAGACATGCTGAGCGACATAGTCCGCCGGAAACTTTAAGTCATTGTCCTTTCCCTGAAATACACCCGTACGTACAAGAATCGAAGTCCAATTGTGGGCATTGGCACCAGCGATATCTGATTGCGAAACAAAAACGATTAATATATGGGTGACCGGTGAGAGTGGGAATTATTCAAATACAAGCGTTTATGCGCTAAAAGGCACTAACCCGCTGCAGGATTATCGCCGACTGCTATTCTCGTTTGTCGTGAGAAAGAAGCAGATCACGTTTTAGTATCTAGACAAGTTTGTGGCAGCAAATAGACGAATCGAGACAAGTTGATCGAGGATTACCATAAATATGTTTCATGCTTCTCTGGTCTGCATCCTTGAATAATTTGGCAGCTTGGTTTTCAAGACAAGTTTCTGCATATCGATATGTAGGAGTCTCTGGCTTACCAAAGAGTTCATACTTTAATGTCTTCCCCGTAGTCTCCTGTAAATGTCGGTTTCATAAACGGGACGAAAAAGAGGTTAATGATTACTTGTCAATTAATTCTTTTTAATATAAACTCGACAAATTTACTATATGAAAACCTTATCCGCTGTCGATCGCTCTTTGACAACACTTTACCCGAAACATTGTTTCTAGTAGCATTTTAAAGCAACCTTGGGCAACCCGAGGTGTTAAGAAATCGTTGGACCAGATCTTTTGGTGCATTCACGCTACGGGTCAATTAAACAATAACAAACAAGTACACGAAAGGATGGGTTGAATGACTTTCTAATTAGTAGTAATGCTTACGAAATCGGGATTGGTGAAGTAAAGAGGCATTTGATGAGATGCCAATTCGGTATCATCGGCAATTGTTCCAATATATCCATCTTTAGAACGTAATACATCCAACATAATTTGCAAGTCTCGACCCCCTTTGCAATACGATAAATAGTTGAATCAAAAGTCATAAAAAACAAATAATCCCAACAAATATATACATACAATCCCGAGAATCGTTGAACATCATAATCGCCTCAATTGGTTCACGCGAAAAGTCCACCTCCTAATAACGAACAAGGCCAATGATATTTTAGTAGACGTTTTCATGTTTGTAACAAAACACATAGAAAATCAGATTCCCTCTGACTTTGGCTTCTCGCAAATGTTCGTCATTCAATTTGGAAAAAGGCCAAATACTTGGATTCCATGCAAATATATCGGTTGGTGTGACAACATTTTTAAAGCCATATCTAAGATACGAAGAAAAAGACGCGTAAAATGATAAAACAGAGTAAGCAACACATGGCATACTAGACCGAAAACCATTTTCTTCCGCTTGGGTAAATTGCTTACTCTATAGCGACTTGTCTGCATAATTGACCGACACCACCTACAACCAAGATCTGAGCGTCGCGATATCTTGACACCAGCGAGCGCACAGGAGAATGTGATAATACGATTTGAGATGAAGAGATCTTTTTTTTTAAAAGGAGAAGAAAGAAAAAGTCAGTGACAAGTATAAATTCATCGAAAGAAGAACTGGTTAATGTGATAAACGGTAATAGTTTTAATTGAGCAGTTAATATTCACCGGAACTTCAAAGAGACGCGATAGTTGATGAGCCTTGGCCGATTCAGACACACCACCGCCATTTGTCAGCAAGATAAAGGGAATCTTTCTTCAATGCGAGATGAGGGTTTGGGGAGAGGAACAGTTAACATTAAAATTCAAATTTCAACGAGAGTAAGCAAGCTTTTTGGTTGTATGATATATTATATACATACTTTCCCAACGCGTTATCACCATTCAAGAAACGCAGAGCTTGCTTAGTCTCTGGTATAACATGATTACCCTAGAGTAAAAAAGCTAAAACCGGTTAAGCAAGTTTGTATTTGGGCCAGTCGGGACCGAGAGCTAAAAATTTGGGAATGCTAACAGTATGAGGACAAAAAAACCTTGATTAAGACACCGTCTATGTCTAGGCATATTCCATACGGACGCGCCTGAGTGCTGTATTGACGACCAACCGTCAATTTCCTGAGGAAAGTATTCTTGCAACAAACTCTTCTAAAGAGCATGGTGCAAGAAAATTCAGGAACAAAAAGTAAGCTGATGATCAATCAGGCCAACAAATGAGTAGATGTTGCATGAATTCTATTTCTGTGCACTTTTCGGATGTGATTGTGGGGTAACTTTCGTTTCACTGCATACAACAATACCAGAAAAAAAGTGAACGTAAAGATAACGCCACGGGGATTTTTTTTTGTTTCGGGTTGGGGGAGATTTCGGATCTAGCTTATCTATGACATCTTTGACATCGCACTTGAGCATATCGATCGATATGCAGCAGGATAGTTTTAAATTCCTGGTATTTTTTCATACAAGCAAAATGTCACAATACAAAATGTTGGTTATGATACGAATTAATTTGGCAACTTAAACTGCAGCATGCAGGCATTGAAGAAACACGTGACAATATGACATTGACACAATAAAACATTTATTTGTCTAGCTTTTTGTAATAGTTAATAATACAACATGTCAATTATCGCCCCCAACTAAATACACATAGTCCAAATGTACAATACACGAATCGGTTATTATGTAACTCCGACTCCAAATCCGGTGCGTGGTCTATGAGCCTCAGATGCAGAAGACTTGGGAATAGGAATTGCCAGCGACCTTTTCGAGGCTCCACCTGAATCAAAGGACCCTTGTGGTGGAGACTTTGATCTTGCTCGATGTTGTTGATACGATTTTTGCCTTTGGTTTTGTGCGGAATAAGAATTGTTGCCGTTGCTACTACTACTGCTGACGCTATTGTTGTTACTATTGTCGTTGGTGTTATTATAATGATGATTGTAACTAGGATCTTCAAGACTAGAACGACCGCTGCTGTGGTTTTCCTCGTAAGAAATATTATTTGGCATGGTACAAATATGCGGAATGAATTTGCGATAATGTGATATCTGTTGACTCGACGTTGATATCAACGTCAAAATGAGGTATTTCAGATTAGGCAGAGTATGTCGAAGGTCCATAACAAGCAGTCCTTGAGAATTCATTAACTGTAATAAAAATAGTCAAGTTGAATACATAAACCATTAAAAGACATTTCAACAATTAGCGTTTCAAATACCTGCTCAATATTCTTGTTTAGCAGGAAAACACCGTACTCAAATCGATAACGATCGACCCCTCTGGCAAATAACGGAAACCTATTTAAATAAAAAATTATCAAATCCGATAATTAGAAAACATGACAAGAACTTTTTCGTGGCAAAAAGAAAACCATCGAACAACTGGACAAAAACTGTTATCGAGATGAGTTGGAAAAAATTTTTTTTTCAAGTATATTTACAGGGCTCCAAGTTGATTGTTGTCAACAAGACGTATCTCTCCACCCTCATAGAAATCAACGTAGAGCCAATCTACTAGATACAGTAGAGGAGCAACCACCGCCATATGTCCACTGACGTAACCCCTGAGGTGATTAATTATACACGAGGATATAAATATATTTGAAACTTTTTTTCTCCCCTCGAGTAGTTCAATCAACCTGGAGCGACTGTTCCATGTGTTAACTTACTGTCTGGGGGCCGGTATTGACGATGAAATTGGATCTCTTATGGATGACCGAGAAGACATGGGCGTTATCGGGAAACGCAGAGGAATTTCGAGATAATATGCAATCATACGGACAAGATGACATGTAAAACCGAGCGCTGTGGCTATGCGCTCATCATCAAATCCGTGAAATGCAGAATTGGGAAGCGAAAGATCTCTTATAGTGAACATGAGTGTCCCTGGTTCCGCCTAAATGAAAGAGAAATTAAAAATCGAGTGTTTCAGTATTGTAAAAGACTATTCCAAGTAATCGTTCTATATATAACAAAAACTCGATAATAACTTGTAAAACATCCATGACAAGCTTTACGCAGGCTGTGCGTTAATACTCACCGGCTCGATTGGATATATGCTGAGCAGATCAGCAATCAGCTCCCTCTGACGATCACAAAGTCTCGACGAAGTAGCTGATAAGGCCTCGCTAAGAACATGGACCTTGTTCAATACGACCATCTGAAAGAAAGATTCACTAAATTTCAAAAACTAACCGCAGACTAAGCAAACAAACCGATCTCGTTCCAATTTTCTTAAGCTTTCCTCCAAATATTCATTTCCAGTATGATATCTTCTTCTCGCCTCTTCCATGGCAGCCGCGCGGGCTCGTAGCTTCTCACGAAGTTCTTCTATACGTCTGTGGTCTGTGTTGTGTGTTTTTGTTTTTTTTTGAATCGAACAAACAGCGTCAATAAAAAACGGACAAGGAGAGAGCGAGGGAGAGGGGATTTATAAAGAAACAAATGATGATAATAAACCTTGTTCTAATTCTTTCGTTTCCTTTTCAATTTGCTTTTCATATCTGCTCAGCCGTAAAGCGGCAGTGCTTCTTTCACGTTGCTAAAGGAAATCCCATCATTAGACTGATTTACTCTTTGGAATATATAATGGTATAAAGACGGCAGAAACGTACCATAGCGAGTTTATGCTCCTCACAGTTTAAAACCTGTTCAATATTCTCCATCACTTCGTCGCGCGACTTCTGCATATCTCTTAGGCACTTTTCTAATTCGTTCAACCTATACATATATAAAATACTATCAATTAAATATCCTGAGAATATGACTGAAACTAGCTCTTTCTCTTCCTTACCTCAAGAGAGAGTCGAACGTATATGACCGCTTGGCCTGAATCATATGTGTGACCTTCTTAGTTAGGCGTAAGAAGAAACGTAGTAAACGGGATATATAATTCATTCAGTGACAAACCCTGGATGGTTTAAGCTCCTGTCGCGTCCGTTCCGACTCCATATGCGTGTGAACATGGAGTAAATAGTTTTCTTCAACACTATTGATACCTTTCTCTAAAAACCGCTAGGCA